AAATAAGTTACACTATAATTATTTACAAAAATAATAGTAAAACATTTCTGTGTAGTCGAATATAAACTTTCATGACGAAATTAAGTCAACTGTAAACAAATTAGCGGTTAACATGTTTCATCTTAATCCTAGAACACCTTAGATATGAAAGCAGTCAGGTTACTCACAACACATTGTAAAGTAAATTGTCTCGATAACATGTCGGCGATGTTAAGTCTTCAAATACAATTTAGCAAGAATAAATTATGTAAACAGTTATATATTGATTTTTAAATATGATTACTTTTTCATAATAATTGCATAGTATTCCGACTAGTCAGTCTGAGTGAAAATAACAATTTCATGGTTATGAACAATATTTGAATAAAAAATTCTGACGGTTGACAGAATTATGAACGATTTTGATGAGAACATTATTAAGTAGCACCTGCGAAATACTGTCTTTAAGAATACGTGCAATAGGAGCGTGGCTGACAAATGAATGGCGATGTCTTTGAAGTGAAACATGGTGGCTATCTCCTCACATATCATTCTTTCTGGTCAAAGAAACTCATTAGAATTAGCTCGATTAGCTTTATTCTCCTACGCTGGTTTTAAGACAAATGGTGCTAATCCTCATATATTGGTTTTTAAGCGACTTTATAACTAGTTCAGCAGATTTGAAATAATAAATTAATAAAATTACTGCCGTACAGTGATACAACTATTGGTTAGTTTGGAAAAAATTAAAGAAATTTATGAAGCAATCACCAGAAAGCAAAAACATAACAAAGGAAAGGGTATGAAGGCGAAATGAATTAATTAGTATATTTTCTTATCGTAGTAAGTTTTTTGTAGTTGGGATAGATAATCACTGAAAGTCAACTTGAATAACTAGAGTAACCGGAAGAAACGAAACACTTATACCTGTAGTTATATGTGGGAAAACGGTATAAACGGATAAATGGAGTTTACGGTAATTTCTCTCTAGACTTGGATACAATCATTAAGTTGTCGCATACAAAAATCATCTGATGAACCTGTTAACAGGCGTTTATACCAACAATATAGATGTACTGCGGGTCCGGTTAAAGAACCACTTACATCCGTACTAGGATTCCAGAGGTCACGTGAACGAAATCATCAATCTTTACGAATTGACAGACAGAGATATGATTACAGAACATCAACAATTTCATTAACCAATTTAAATATTTTTAGCCTTTGTAATATTAATGTTGTTTTGCAATAAACCACTGATAAACAAAAGCTGTTTTCTGATTGGCTAAAAACGAGTAAAATTTGCCGCGATTTTTTTAGAACCGCTCAACTTCATCCCCGTACTCCTACATCATTAAATTTCTTATTAATCCAGTAGAATTTCTAGTCATTTAACAAGTGAATTAATTCAGTCTAATTTTTTCTCAACTTAACACTAATTTATACTAATTAATCAGCCACAATTTTCATTCCCTTGACCTTCGTCCAGTATAATAGTCAAACGTATCGATTTTATGTAGTATTTATTCAGTTTGAAAATTTTTAAGATTATTAATCGCTGAATGTTGTATAAAATCTGTATAAAATGAAATAAACTCGATTGTGGATTGATCTTCATAGGTCACTATCAATTAATTTTCTAGACAATCTTGGACTTCAAACTCTGGCTAACAAGAATGAACGAAAAAGAATGTACAACTTAAGTAAATGATTTTGTCAAAAATAACATTTTCTCTCACTGAATTCACTTTATTTGTAGTCTCATGATACAATAACTTGTTTGGAATATTATCTAGGAATTAAAGACTGAATTATTCATTGTTCTGTTGGATTTATAATGAATAATTGAATTATATTACATTGTCAGTGAGATTTGTATACAATGCGTTCAGTGTTTTGTATGGTTGCAACTGATAGATTCAGAACAAAGAAGAAAACATTTTCTGACTTCAGTAGTTTTTTTCCAACTATTTCAGTCCGTGATTTAAAAAATCCTTTAGAGGAAGCTGGTTAAAATCATTTCATAATTTAAAAATTATATTAAATTACAAAACATTGATTTTATTAGAATTTCACAAGTACTAATTTGAATGAAATGAAATAACAATTCAATGCTTTCTGATTTCAACCTGTTTCCTTATGAATATCAATTCGTGAAAGACATCAACAAAAACTAACATTATACATAGAAATCCTTTTCACAAACTGGTTCAACTTTATGAGATTCTACAATAAAATTGCTGACATCATTTCTGTGAGATGCTTAAATTGAATAATAGCGTTAGAAGTAATCACAATTGACACGTTCTATGCCTGATTTGCTGACCCTTTCTTAGTTTCGCGAAATCCCACTACACTTGAGTCTAGAGCAGTAGACAGAAGATGAGACGTATGAAAAGAGGCTTTGTTTTTGGGGTTAGTTTATGTATAGAAAGTGAGGATACTTGTGGGTTTACAGGGAACCTTGACATTCTGGAAGTTTCTAGAATACACTATAATAGATCAGTCGAGCTACGGGACATAATCCTTTGTTTTTTCCAAAAGTTACTTGGAAGTTTCAACTATCTGCTGATTAGATGAAGTGTCTTCAAACTTTTCCCAACTTCTGAAGGCTTATTCATGAAGTTTTCAATAGCTCTCAACTGTTAAAAGCAACATATCTAGTAAATTTTCTTGTTTTTCTCCCAAATCATAGTGATATGTAATACATCAAATTTTTCAACATAGATTTGAAAATTACGATATGAACTAGTAAAAATGATGTGTTTTGCTCCCATTTTTCTTATTTTCTGTTCTTATCATCTCTTTTAAAAAAATATACATTAAGCACAGTTAATTATTACTGATGTGATTCGCATATGTTTATGTATATTCAATTATTTCTCTGTCTATCATCAGTTTAAAGTTATCAATCAAATTATGATTTATATATTCATTTGAATAATTATTATAATAGTATAATGTTTTTATATATTTATAAGAAGATAATTCACTCAGTCTTAAATTCCTTCTTGGTTTTCAATATAGTAACTTACGTTAATAGACATTTATTTTTGATGATTTTCTGTAATTACAATTACAGTGATAATGAACAGATTTTCAATCAATGTACAATTAGGTGAAAAAATATACAATATTAAGTGAATATCAAACATTCATATAATTGGAATTTAAAACATAACACAAATAATAATAATAAGTGTTTAACTTAAAAGCAATGTAAACCATAAAGTAACATTAGTTGAGAAATCATTAAAAATTTATTTAGTATTCAATAAGAACTCTGACTTAAAAGTTTTACAAAAGTGAACATAAGTAGTTCATAATGAAGTAGAATTCCGTACCTTCAATTTTCACAGTGATAGCTATCTGATTGATCTAAATGGTAGGTATCCAATAATATATTTTGTGATATATCTTAAGTTCTTCAGTCATTATTATTATTATTAGCTTTATTCAATATTATATAACTGGTAAAATATATAATTCTCAGCACAATGTATTTCAACAAATTTCCGTTTCTTACTTCTTGATTGATCCTGACGATAAATATTGATTGATCACCAGTTAGAAGTTAGCAGTACAGTCAGTGGACATCTAAATAAATTACATTCTTTTCGTTGCATATTGCCTGCCAGCAACTAAGATAACTCTGATTGGGCCTTTTGTAACGTAATTACAACGAAAATTTGTACACTTTTTAAAAACGCACCTGAATGGGTTATGTGATTAACAGCCATAATGATGTATTAAAACAAACAAAATTAGACAAGTTGTTGAAATATCTAGATGGCATGACCAGGTAGCCCAGATGTTCAAGCAGACCATATTAGGTCAGGAGTAGATTATTTTCTGAAATCAAATTCAATAAACTTTACAATTTGTAACTTTCAAGTTTCAATGACTCTCAAGTTGATGGTAATTTGTCAAAAAAAACTATCTTGATGATACAAAAACGAAAACTGAACTACTCAACTGAATTATCATACTTTAGGAGAAAATAAATTCATTTTGTTTCTACATTCATTTTATCAACTTCTTATTGGGCTATCTATAATAAGAAATCAATGGATATTATATCAAAACGAACTAGTGTATTGTCATGTTGTCTAAATGGTACTTTAACAGTAAAATATTAACGTCTACAAAAGTGAAAATATTAGAATTTAATCAAAATATACACTTTTATAAAGATAAGAAATGAATTACACGAATTAATATTCCCGGTATTTAAATACTTCTATACTGATCAATCCACTAAAGAATGTGACAATGAAGAACAAAAAAAATGTGAAAATCTGAGTGTCAAATTAAATTTCACTAATCTCATCTGTTCACATAAAAAAGTACTTTTAAATCATTCATTAAAATTAGTAAGATTTATTAATGATATAGTAAGAAATAATAAGAGCGATAATAATCAGAAGTAATTATTATAAGCAAAGATGGATCGTACCTAGCAGTGGAATCCAGAACTCAGTAGTTGAGTGGATAACGCGATGATGTTTAAAGCAAACAGTACTGGGTTCGAGTCCCAGAGTGAACATCACCTCTCAGATGCAGATACATCCAGCTGTCGAGTCCCAAATAGGATGAAACGCACATCCTGGATTCCACTGCTAGCCGCTATCCATAATTGCTTATAATTCTTGAGAATTAAAGCAATATCAAGACAATACCCACATATGGCCAATAAGAGACTGATCAATTTCAGTCCTAAACATCAAAAGAAATATTCAAGCAAACATTACCAAGTGAATTTAGAAATAATAATTGTTAGTTATGTGTTATTGATACAACAACAACAAAAACGAACATAGATTTCTTGTAAATATTTACATTTAATTCGAATTTAATTTTTCTACCCTATTTTCTAAATTAAATGATAATAATAATAATAATCATCCAATCATTTATAAGCAAATTATATTATCTATTCAATATAGACTACTAACTGACTATTTAATTGGTCAAATAATTGTATGTGTTTTTCTATACAATGACAGTCAATTAAGATCCTTTTTTTTTAAAGAATTAGTGTTACGTTAAGATATACATATATGCAACAAATAATAGTATATAATGAGATGTATAACATCTATCTATGTATCATGTCTATATGAGTTTGTTACTTTGTTTGTATGTATTATTGTCTGTAAGAAGAGAGCCTATAGTTGCTTTAATTTAAATTAACAATGATTAGATAGTAGACATTTGTTTTCCTATACCCTTAAATAAGAAAAGAGAGGAAATATAATATATTTATCATTTCTGTGAACTTTGTTAAAAGAAATCAGTAGGATAAAGAAAAATAACACCCCTTTCATTATCAGAAACTATTTATCCATTTTATGATATATTGATAAACACAAACAGACAAAATAAAATTAAAACATTATTACTTTTATATACATTAATTTACATTTATTTATCAACCCTATCGAAAATAAATCAACTCACACTATTAAACTAAAAAAATAAAATGGAACAATCATATTCAATGGTGTCAACTCAAACCCCTTTTATGACTGATTTTTATTGTTAGATTGTAAACAAACAAAAATATAATAGAAATTTTGCCAAGTAAAAGTGAACTCTTACATTATTCTTCATTCAATTCGAATATCATTATTAATCTAAACTGTATCAAGTATGAAAATGAATCTTCGATAAACAAAATGAATATGAATGAAGAATTAAATATCGCTACAAGTAATAATGATTTTATACTGAATGATGAATCGAACAATTCATGGAAGAATTCTATAGAATATGAATCTTTCTATTCCACTCCCACTAATAATACTCATACTAATAATGGCATTACCTTCACTCCAGAAAAAACTACAACAAATTCTCCAAATAACAACAACAATGATGTATCTTATTCATTTGATGAAACAACCAGACAAATAAATGATAAAATTTTAGATATAAACAGTCGAAACAATTTTCTCATGGATACAATAAATGATAAAATAAAACAACCAGATAATTCATGTTATTCAATATGGCAAAATTTTGTAACAACCCTACTAAACAATAATAATAATAAACCATCCCCTGAGAAAGAAATTGATGATGCAAATAAACTGACAAAATGCCATTCACCACTTAATTCATCATGCTTCAATGTAACTATGGACTGCACAGATTCTTCACATACCTATGTATCAACAGCAAAAAGTAGTGATAATAATAATATGACTTCCATGTCCAAACAGCTTAATAATACACCGAAAAAACGGAAAACAGCTTATGGAATACGTGATATACTAGAGGATTCCTGTAAAGACAATGAGATTGTTCAAAAATCGAATGATTTCAATGATAAAATCGATATAATTAAAAGTGAAAAACCAGAGAAACATTTAAGTGATGAGATTGAATCTGTCGAAAGTAAACTAAATAAGAGTTATTTATCATGGTGGAATACATTACAGTCTTTAACATCATCACATTTAACTAATACATTAGATAATTCTTTAAATAAAACAGATGATAATACACTTCAATTGATCTATCAACAATATCGTTTACTTGAAAAAATGTCAGCATTACCAGAAAATTTTCATTCAAATTATTCATTACACTTAGCACAAATAAACAAGAATAAAACAGAGAATAATCCCACGAATCAATCAACCTCTTCATATCAAAATCATTATACAACTAATATTGATTCAGAAGAAAATATTGAAACTAAATCCAAGTTGAATCAACTACATTCAAGTATGAATTTATTCAAACGAATTGTATCAAATTTGACCAATGAACAATTACCTCAACTATTATCATCGACAATAGGAGGGGCATTTATAACGTCAACGACAACAGCAACAACAACGACGACACCTTGTTTAATGAAAAAAGAAGGATGTAATACATTTTTAAACTGTTTAAATAATAAACACTATAAATCGTATGATTGTGAAAATCTTTTCAATATGGCTGCAGCCACAGTAGCTGCCATGGCAGCTGCAGCATCAATGACAAGTTATCACTCACCATTAAATAATTTACATAATTCAACTCATCATACATCATCAAATTTATATGATTCATTGAATATATTCCAAAATCCTCCATTAACTGATTATAATTTGTCAAATCATAACATTACTACTACATCTGCAAATACGGTAAATGACAATAATAATAATATTACAAGTAATAATAGTAATGTTACATCAATTCCGTCTAATAATTCATTTAATTCAAATATAAGTAATATTCATTTACCTATAGGATTATCAACAGGACATATGAATAGTACAAGTAATGCCATGCCTAATATTCATCATTCATTAACATCGCCTACATCATCATCATCACCATCACCTTCGACACTTGTTAGTACAAGTAATAATGGAATAAGTTCAACAAATTCTTGGATAAGAACAAATGGTAAGTTGATTCATTAATTTGATGTTTTTTTCTCTCTAAAACTGGAATCTATTATAGTCATTAATAACTAGATCAGTGAGAATTTTTTAATAGGGCTTTTCCAGAAATAATCTTTTAGTTAAATCATTAATAATAGTAGGAAAGAAGTAAGTATGGTCTTCAAAGAATTTCCTACATGGTATATTCTTTTCATTAGAGCTTAATTGAGAAAAAAATCATTATTTACGAACGTGTATATTGCTTAATCAGTATAAATTCTATAATTTTTTAATTTAAAATGAGTATGTAGTGCTAATATAATGCGTCAAAATGTTTCTATTTGTGTTTATACAATATGTTCAAGGAAATATACTTTATAGATGATATCCATGAAAGATAAATTAAGTACTGATACTTTCTGGCTCTCAGTGGTACTCAAAATGAGATCAAACTTTTCGGAATGCTACCTGCAAATTAAATCATTTTCCAAAAAACTATTTCAACTAAAGACCCACTCTAGTTAAAAAGAGATCTTTTTTTACTTTTAATGTAAGGATCATGATGATCATCAACTTACTAATTTTTCATTTTTACATAAATACTGTTTACTAGACCAGTACCGTTCGTTCAGCGACTTCATGTATGTTATTATCCTTTTAAGTGTTTCATTGGTTGTTTCTAATTTCCCATTATGTCGATAACAACATGTTATTTAACACTTTCGGGATAATTATATCTGATACACGTTTTATATCATAACTGCTTAGTATATGTAATTGAGAATATAGTGATACGCTCGAAAATGTGTAATATACTACACTTTAAGTATTTTCAAAATAAAAATATCTGTAAATTGCATTATTTTTTTAATTAGATCATCCACAGATTTTAATTCAGTATACATAGGGATTGGTATACATCTTGGATCTAGCATTCAGAGAGGAATAAGCATTAACAGAATCAATATCATCATCCGAATTATAAATCTATTTCCCCATGTCTAGGCTTATTGCAGTTGTAAACAGTTAAATTTCATGTATTTACTGAATATACCGTTACCATATTATATCCTACCAGTTTTTGATAGTACTCAATGAGAGATATTTGAAATGTTATGAAGACAATATTTCTGTTATTGTTATTTCATATTGTAAATATACAGAACTGATTTGTCCGGAGACAAGAAGTGTATGAAGATTAGTTACAGTTGCCGATAGTTTTCATTATGAACTAACACAAAATGATAAAGCTATAAAACAAGACACTACAATAAGTTTATCTTGTTCTAGTTACAATATTCTCTACACCACATTTTAAGTTGAACATAGTTAATAGTTTAAACAGTTAGATACGAAGTTAATGGTCAGCATTCAGAAATGAACTGTACTTCGCAGTTATTGAATATGAGTAATGTGTTAAAATAAGCGAACAAAAACGTCGCGCTTCTATCTACCCAATAGAAACGAGAACCAGTTCTGACAAGAATAGCTGAATAATGTTCTGTAAAACCCATAAACTGTTAAAGCTAACTTAAGTCATTAAAGTATTTACCATATAAGCAGTATGTCCAATTATCGAAGTACCATATACGATTTTTAAAAATGATGACAATGGAGTATCCCTTTGTTTTAACTGACTTTCTTTAGTGTTATTTGATTATATTATCAGAATAGAGTTTGCATACACTATTAACTAAAAAATGTTTCTACTTCCAGGAAGTCGACTTAACGTTACTCAGTCCGTAATAAATTCAAATTAATTTCTAATCCCCTAACAAGTAAATACAACTAAAGTTACATGGTACACCTTTGAAGATCATAGTGAAATACTCAACTTGAAATACACAGCTGTCAAAATACCCTGCACAAATCAGGTAAACTGTAGTTGGTTTGTCGGTAAATGTATCACTGAAATGCTTTATAACAGCTATTTAAGAAATTTAAGGTCGATTATGATGGTTTCTTCAACAACAAAATAATTCTAACTTATTCAAGTCTGTTTTGTCAGACCTCAAATTATAGGGGGAATGCTGTCTATATCATTCTTTTAAAAACAGAAGTTATATATCGTATGATACTAACTAAACATGAATCTACATTCATCACTTCATTTCGTTTCTTGTTATATATTTGATCTGAAAAGATATTCATAAAAAGTTCACATTAAAGTCCGTCTTATTCAAGAAAGTTTAGTTTGAATTTAAATAATGTTCAAGGTCACGATTTACACGATTGTAATAATACGAGCATTCTGAGAAACTAGGATGAGACTTTTCTGAATGAATCCAGCGTACATTTTTCAATATATACTTTTTAAAACCCAAGAAAAGTTTCCACAAACTACTTACAATATGTAAAGTTTCTTTAAATTTCATCGATATTTATCTATTTCAATAATATTTGTTCGTAATTGAAGTCGCTTTAGAGTGGTTATGATAAGTTTTGATATTGCCTTTATTATTGTTTAGTTAAAATATTTTAAAGACTAAATCAACGTCAATATGAATGTTATTATTAAATCCATACTCTCATATTATCATTATCATTCTGTTAAATCTGTTATTTGTTATTAGGAGTTACGTAAGTAATATCATACATACAAAACAATCTACGTATAATATTGATGATATATTTATGTTCGATTACATTTCGTATATAATGTTAACCAAATATTATAAAAATTTTCAGTTTTACTGTTACATAATAATTTGGAAATGAATAAATAAAGTTATATATTCACTGATTAATACAAATGGCTGATCCAGTAAATACACGAATTTCCTATTTTATCACCAATTATGTATTGAGTAACGTCAAATAATTATTAAGTATTCGGTAGGATATTTCAAAATTAAATAAGTAGTCATTTCTGAAATATGGAAACCTTATTATTATGTTTACAACCAAACAACTCATACATTAGCCTCATATTAATTACTTAATTTTTCAAAGTTACATTGATTGATTACATTATGATCAGAAGGGTTTTTGTGGAGGTTTAATATTTTCATAATTGAAAACATGAGTCAATTGAAGCTAGACCACCAAGGAAAACCTGGAAGCATTGAACAGCCGTTTCGTCCTATTGTGGGAAACCACTGGATGCCGGCTCAGTAGTCTATCGGTTAAGTGCTCTGGCGCGAGACAGATGGGTCCTGGGTTCGAATCTCGCTAGGAGAGGTCGTGGATGAGCACTGCTGAGGAGTCCCACAATAGAACGAGACGGCCACCCAGTGCTTCCAGGTTTTCCGTGGTGGTCTAGCTTCAATTGACTAATGCTTTCAAATATGATCACATTATGTTTTACATACACCAAATGATTCAATAGCTAATTTAATTTATAATGCATTCATTGCTGTATATTGTTAATTTAATAAGTCTAAGAATTATTCTACATGAAATATTCTTCCCCTTATATGACTATACATGGGTTGTTCTTAGCATCAAAGAACAATGTTCTGGTTATGTATCAAATACATAATAAATGTCCCAAAAACTGAAAACATGAATATTTACACTGTATGACCTTCATTAAAAAATAGTTTGCTAATATGATAATTAAATATTACATAACTCAATAGGTTAATTTTAAGTAAATCAAAGCATTTTACCATGTACAAAAAATGTAAAAATTTTTTTTTTTAATAATCAAATCAGTTTTTTACATCGTCTTGAAAATTGATCACCACAAGGTTTTGTTTTAGTTGTACTAATAGTTTCATAACAAATCGCATGTTTTTTCAAGTGTCAATATTGAAAAAAAAAACAAGAAAATTAATCAACTTCTAAATAGAATAAATAATATCCATTTTATTGTCTTCTTCAATCCATCATGTTATATGAAACTAAGGAAATAAAGAAACTAATTCAATAAATAACACTATAAAATACATTTATTTGGAAATGAAGCGTAAAATGAACATTTTAAAGAAAACAAATTACTAGTACAGTCAATTCTTAAGTGTTCATAACATAAAGTGAAAATATGAATGAATTTTTTATTATCAGAAGCAGTTTTGTGAAGATGCCGGCTCAGTAGGCTAAAGGTTAAGCGCCCGCGCGCGAGACTGATAGGTCCTAAGTTCGAGTTTTTGCTTGCCTATAATTTAAGTTCATGGTTTTTCCTTTAATAATATGTTTGATAAAAAAGATCATTTCTACAGAACTGTAAATAACTATTTCTTTTATGTAAGATAAAACGAGTTAGGTTAACAATTTGTTGACTAACAAATTAGTTATTGATTCACAATCTACATAATATTGAAAATTAGGTTCCATAGACATCTTTTTAAAAATATTGGAATAAGTTAGTTTGATCGAATACATCTTTTGTTATTATGATTGATATTTTGTAATATATATTTACAATATTAAAGTAATTTGCGAAAATAAGTCCAGTTCGAAAATCCATCTTTATTATCACATATCAGCTACACTTCACTTTAGTTCCTGAAATACCCACGTTAACCCTCGAGAAGAAGCATAGGCCACCCACCATAATTCCAAATTACTGCTTGTCTCGTGATGTAGTTTGCTGATTTTTGCAATGTATGTCCTATTCACTTCCAAAGAAATATCTTGATTTCCCCTTCATTTGGAAACTGGTTTTTTCTCTCCCACAGTAGACTGTTGCTGATGGTATCCAGTCAATGGATATAGAGTATCTTGCGTGGACAACTGTTTATAAATTACTTACTTATTTACTTACGCCTGTTACCCCTCGTCGTGGAGCATAGACCGCCCACCAGCATTCTCCATCCAACTCTGTCCTGAGCCTTCCTTTCCAGTTCTTTCCAGTTGCTATTCATCCTTTTCATATCTGCCTCTATTTCCCGGCGTAGTGTGTTCTTTGGCCTTCCTCTCTTCCGCTTCCCTTCCGGATTCCAAGTTAGGGATTGAGTCGTGATGCACATTGGTGATTTCCTCAATGTATGTCCGATCCACTTCCAACGTCTTTTCCTAATTTCCTCTTCAGCTGGAAGCTGGTTTGTCCTCTCCCATAAAACGCTGTTGTTAATAGTA